CTTCAGGATGCTGCTTGTTTAGGTGCTGTTTGGCTCCTTTCTGACCAACAAGGACCTGACCGCAGAGTGCACAGTGCTCCATCAGGTAATCATGGAACACCGGATTTCGAGCTGCTCCTTCTGGATTTTCCTGAGCATCAGACTGTAGACTTTCTGTAAGTGAAATCCGGTTCTGGGCTTCTAGAGGGAGCTCTTCCTGCTGTCGAAGCAAGAGCTCTACCCGAGGGCATGTAGATGCTTCGACGTGTTTGCGCAGATAGAACACTGTTCGGAATGTTGCTCTACAGGCGATGCAAGTTGCTGACCCTGGCATTGAATGCAAAATAGGGTCAAATTTGGGTCCTTTCAAGCTTTGCTGCGAGTCTGGGTGGGCCTTCTGCAGGTGGCGACGGAGTGCCCCGGTACCAGAGAGACATGCTCCACACTCGCCGCAGGTCAGGATCTTATCCTCTACTGATTGCGAGGAGAAGTCAATGGCAAGGCCTTCCAGAGCCTGGCTGATTGCCTCAGCGCGCAGCTTGTAGTGTGGGAGGAGCTGAGGATCTGAGTGTTGCTGTCTCTTAATGAACTGTGTCAGCCTCTTTTGCAGCTGCTCCTTCACGTGAGGAATCCGTACTCTCCGGAGTAACTCCTGGTTGGATTCCTTCGTTTCCTGGGAGTAGCTCCGCAGGACAAACCGAAGTTGGTACATCATGTGTGAATGGAGCTTCTGCAATCCCTGCTGTGTCAGTCCTACCACGTGAAGGGCATACAGAGCAGAGGCCCACGCAGTTATTGTCCAAATTGACAGACGACGTCTGTCTGATAGGACTCGATGGTTCCTAACTGCATGGGCGACTTCTGACATTGCTAGCTTACTGGATGACAGCCGATGTTTAAGGGTCTTCATTTCGTAGTCATGATAAGAAAGAATGACCCCCAGGTATGGGACCTGGTACCGCAGCGATATCAACTTGCCCGAAGGGAGTTCCACAAACTTCTCTCCATCTACCTGGCGAAATAGCTTTTTCCTAATTGTCGAGGCTGAACCTCCTTGTAGCTGCAGCAGTATTGCTGACTTGGACGGATTGACCTTGAACCCAAGTTCAACCAATTGATCCAGAAGAAGGTCGCAGTACCCTAGTGCTGTAATGAGGCCAGACTCAGACTCGAAATGCGACTGAATCAAGCTATCATCCGCATACATGGTGAGAAGTTTAACTAGTTCGGGGGGGCTGATTTTTCCAGAGAGCTTCCTAAAGAGAAGCCCGGATGCAAAGGCGAATAGGGAAGGTGCAAGCTTGCATCCCTGCTTGATTCCCCTGCGTGTGGCTATCTCAAAGCTCTGATCGCTGGCTGTCATCTTGTACAAGGCTTTGATGTGGAGATGGCCCACCACCTCTATAAGAAGAGGGTCTGCTTGTTCAGCTTCCAGGGCTTCTCTTAATCGTAGCCTGTCCACAGTGTCAA